GGGAAGTGAATCTTCAGTTGTTTTCCGGTGGCCAAAGCCATATTGTCTATCATTAATGATTCCCGAGCTCTCTAGATGTTTGATGAGCTATGAGCTCAATGTTGATGACTTTGCCCATCACTTTGGAGATGTTGGACAGGCTTCTGTCTCCTGTATTGGGAATTGGTTGAACACTAGCTATTTTGCAGCAAGATGGGAAAATACCCGAATTGCACGAGATCGTGAAGAAAATCAGTGTCAATTCTGGTGCACACTTTTTGGGAACTATGCGTGGAATTTCATCAGGACCGTTATTCGTTCTGAGACCGAGCAGAATGCGGCTGATAGTGCGTTGACAAGAGACGATTTCGGAAATTCGATTTTCAACGTGTGGAATGTCTGGCGGTATTCTCCATGGAAATTTTAGGTGGCTTTTGCTCCGAACGTCTCTGCAAGAATGTGTTCTTTCTCTTGCGATGTTGTTGCTGATGCGACGTCGGCTATGAAGAGTGGTGGGAATGAACTATTAGTTCAATTCATTTCGACTATTTTAGCGAGGAACCAAAGCGAATAGGAACCATTGGGGAAATCTATGAGCTTTGATTTTATTTTGGCATTGTATGATTCGTTTGATGCATATATACTGTTTGGCGGTAAATATTTCTGTCTTCTGCTCACTTCAATTCCGAAAATGTTCAATGATGGAAACATGCAGAAGCCTCGAAAAAAGAGGGGCTCTATATTTTCATTAGTAATATCACGAGTTTCTAAATATTCTAGATGATACTGTCGCTTCATTGTTCAATTGAAAATAATTTTAGGTGGTAGTTCTCATGAAACCCCATAACTGTTGTATTTGAATTTGGTATATACAGGGCGATTCACGAGCTACTGTGAACTCATGTTGTAGATAGGACAGATACCTATGCCGTTAAGAAATGGATAAGTGAGTAGGTGAGTAAGTAAGTAAGTAAGTAAGTAAGTAAGTAAGTAAGTAAGTAAGTAAGTAATCTTTATTGGCCATATAAAAATACAGAGTACAGATGGCAGGTCATAGATGCACAAGCAAATCACATAGTAGTAGTTAGTATAGGTAAATTTATAAAAAATTGTGAGCCTAAACTAGGTACTATAGTAATTATACATATATGTAATGAAATTAAAGAATAAAACATTGACAAATTACAACACTGGGATAAAAAACATTTACAAATCTCTGTAAGAAATGTATTCTTTAATGGAATAAAAACCGTTTTTTGTGAGGAAGTATTTTACCTTTGATTTAAAAATGTTGAAGCTACCCGAGTTTCTTAGATTCTCTGGTAAAGCATTGAAAATTGTTATGCAGTTGAAAATGGAAGATTTCTTTAAGGTTGAAGTATTAAATTTAGCCATAGACATTTCAAAATGTTCAATTCGACGTAATTACCAAGATAACAGGGTCGTCTTACTCCTTCAGCCATAATAGATTGACCTTGTATCATTCCAGTCGTTTGATCAATTATATACCCTTAAGTAATATAAATCGATATTCTGAAATACCAAATGTATACAAGTTCTAGCCCCGGACTGCCCTAAAGGAAATATCACTATTTTAATCACACAATAGAATTTCATCATCGATATATCTCAAAGATGTGATTGACTAAATAAGTGTACAATTTTTTGATGAGAATGTTCAATATTTCCTGGTCACATAATCTCATGTTCCGTTCTCCAGAAACTTATAATAGGCCATCGAGTTTGGGATACCCTGTAAATACAAGTGGAGTTGGAGACAAGAGGATTTATCATTTTTTGTTATGATAATAAGGTGTACCATTTAAATTTAAGAAAGTCACTTTCATGACGTTGCAGTGACGTATCTATGACGTCTAAAAATCACGTCGGTGTGACGTATCAACTCAGTGGGCTTGGTCATTCAGAAAATTTATCAAAAATTTGCTCCTCAGATTTTTGTTGGGTGACAAAGAATGCATGAATATACGTTACTCAACAAAGTGAAGCTGGATTCGCCAACATCCTTCACATTGCTATCAAACTATTCTTGGTTTGCTTACATCTCGCCGACACAAACTATATAATGTTTGATAGAAATACGAATAGCTGATCTTATTCTGAATTGATATGGGTATGACACCGGAAAGATCACCAAGCAGTCAGTGGTGTTTATCACACTATGTTTGAGGAAACCTTTTCACGTTTTATCAACAAATTTGAACGCCATTTTGACATCATTCTAACGTTACTTTGACGTCATTCCTACCTCACCGTTATAGGTGAGTGACTGAAATCAATAAACTTGAGTAATATGACGTCATTGGGCTGTGCCTTATTCACGTCATTTATAACGCCATACGACGTTAACTCCTGACGTCATCTTGGACAACTGACGTGACCTGGCGTCACTGAAACGTCATCTGGTTGCTTGGGTTGTATTCCAGAAAGCGTCATGTGTATTTCGGAATAGTCAATTCGATTACAGAAAGCGTCAAGTATTCCAGAATAGTCAATTGAATAACAGAAACCGTCATTCGAGTTTCAAATTAAAACAGTCAGTTCAGGAATTATTGATTGAAATAGAACCATACACCTCAGATGAATTTCTTGGTTCAAGTATATAAAATTTAATGTCAGTAGTAGGTCACTTGTTTCATTTATATCAACCAGTGTCAATCAATATTGTTTTTGTTGCTTCAGATTAAGCTATTGTTATTATCATTATGTATATGTATTTTACTTACTGAAAATATTTCAACTGTTTTTTAAGTGTATTTTAGTATTCTGAATATCAATCAATTGTCTGTATTTTACTCATTGAGTATGAGATTTTTCTGATAGTGATCTCAGTACCTTCTTTCTCAGATGTTCGTTTGTTAATACCTACCTCCTGTCCCTATCCTCCCTAGGAACGCACGATGTTCTTTGAACATTATAGGGGTTCCCTTTCGTGCGCTCCAAGCGATAAAAAAAACATCATATCATTCGACGCCAGTTCATTTAATCGTATTTGTGTATCGTAAATATATGAGTACACTTCTTTGAATGAAGCGACTCATCTATCTATCTATCTGAAACACAAATGACACTTACTGAAATTCAATTGATATTCTGAAATATTATTGACGCATTCTGAAATTCAATTGACTATTCTGAAATACAATTAATGCTTCCTCAAATACAAGTGACTATTCAGAAATACAATTGTCACTTTCCGAAATACAACTGGAAAAGGGGTAGTTATGCTATACATCAAATATGCAAATGACATATATTGACAAATACCTATGCACAAAATCAAAGAGCCAAAATATTGAGACATGACAACATAACTAGATACTTAGTGATCATATGAAAGTTCATGAATAACGATCTATTCGTCGTAGATCTCTTCGGATCCAACACCACTAAAAGCGAATATTGTAATATTCCAAACTCATAATTTCTGAACCAGTTTCCTCGGTGCTCGACCTACCTATATTGAAAATAAAATCTCATCATCCTGCATAAAAAACAAGATAGTCATTAGTCAGGCGTGATTTCCAGCCGATAGCTCGCGGATATAATAACGCCTACTCTGATGCTCACTGTTCATTATCCATTCGACGCTGCCGGAAATTTAATTCCACACTTGGAAATGAGGATGAAAATGAATTCATGAACACTTTGATCATCGCCTCCGAGTTGACTGGAGGATATTCGATATGAATTTCGATTCAGAGAATTCATTGGAGAATTGAAAAGAGTGGTTGGCCAGAGAGTGAAACCTCTTGTCGAGCCATTGTGTTGATTAGGAATTATCGGTGAACAGCTGTAAGACCACATTGTCTCCATAATAATAATATATTGAAAATAATACTAGTTATAATGAGGATACTATTTTAGAGGATGGTTTAGAGCGGATGCAGAACCACCAAGGAGGAAATCGATCTACCCAGCTGGTTCAACAAATGAGCAGAGAGTTCATGGCTTATGATGCAATGAGTAAATATAATTATTAAGTTGAGGCAACAGTAGAAAATAGTCTTTTTTTTTATCTAGAGCGCGAAATGCTACTTTGGTGAAAAATAGTCGAGATGACAAAGTATTTCGCGCTCGAGTTGCAAACAAAATGTTTTCTACAAACGTCAATAAATATAGTTCTAAAGTGAAAATATGCTTAGCTTGATATAAAAAATGGTGTTGAACTGGCTTAAAAGGTCTTTCCCTATCCTCCCTAGGTACGCACGATGTTCCACGAACATAATAGGAATTTCCTTTCGTGCGCTCCAAGAGAAAAAACAAAGTTATTGTTGATCATTCAGAAATAAATGATTTTGTGGATGTCTGCTCGATTGAGGACCATGAAGTTGAAATATAAATATCTCATATAGTTTACATAACAATGCGCGAAGTAGGTACTTCGCGCATTGTTTTGTGGAAGGAATCATGGTAACGTAGGAAACTGAAAAAAAGTGTCACTTCGCAATTTGTTATCAATGCGCGAACCTTGTCATTTTTTGACGTTTGTAGAAAAAATTTTTTTTCTCAAATTTTCATTATTTGTAGTTATTTAAAGATTATTCAATAAAGCTAAATCATTCAAAATTGTATTTTATTCATATTCTTACCTCACAAAATCAGTCATATCAGTGAATAGAAACGTTCTACATAAACAAAACAAAATTACTATACAAACAACAAATTCACAAGACCTAGGAAACAAACTTTTATTCCTGAACTTCGAATAATGTAAGTGTACATATAGATAACAATAAAACCTCTTTCAAGGAAAACAAGAAGAATACTTGATTCCTCCAAAATATTAAATGCAGCAGTAAATAAATCATCATCATCAATTGGAAATTGGTATAAAATGGTATCAATTTTTTGTAGTGCCCTAAATCTTGTTCTTTCCTGTTATAGATCTTAAACGATCTGCAACAAGTTGTCCATACAGATTTTCAGTGAAATGAGTTTCGTAGTAGGTGCAGTCTTTAGAGCATTTGATAGGTCTTGTAGTGCTTTACTAGCATCTTTCATTACACTAGTTTCCAAATCTCTGTTTGGTTTTTGGCATATTTTTCGTTTTTTTTATTTTCTTGTGGTCTTTTTGTTTGAGCATTAACAAGCTGATCATCATTCTGGGATCCATCAGCAACCTCCTAGAAGTTGAAATACTATTTTGTTTATACATGTGTGACTTGATTTTTTAGCATGCATGAGCATATTTGTTGTGGCATAGAGGTAGGTAGGTAGGTAGGTAGGTAGGTAGGTAGGTAGGTAGGGGCAAGTAGATACACTATTTAATCCAAAGTTCATAATTTTTCAGCAATGTGCTGTGAATAATAGTTATTTATTATACAAGGGAAAAAAGTAGTAGATTATAGCTCCAGGTTGTGTTGTCTCCCGACGCGTAGCGGAGGAAGACAAAAAACCGTGAGCTAAAATCTAATATTTTTCCCGTGTATAATACACAATTTTTTTCTGTGACAGAAGAAATTACGAATCAATATTGAGAAGATATCACATCATTTTGAAATCTGAAAATTATCGATGTGAAATTTTAAGTTTTTAACAGTAGGGACACCTGCGTTGTACGCATAATGAGCTCTGTCTTTGAGTAGTCCTCCTCCTCTGTATTTGGTATGGCATTTTCTAATTTCTTCCGATTTCCACCTATTACTAATGACATGAGGCTTTGTGATTCCTGCTCATTTACCTGCTCAATACCATAATAATGGCATGTTTACCTAAAATATCATTATGTTAAACTCAAAATCATTAGTAAACTGTAGGATGTCAGAGAATAATAGTGTATGTGTAGTTGTACTGGCACCGTTTTCTTGTATTTTGATACTCACAAAATCTACATCAGCTCCACTTCTGATAGCCTCATCCATCTTGCATTTCTCAACTTGATATGTGGTTCTCAGACTGGAAAATTTGACTTTGATTTCTTCAGGTGTTGTTGCGGGCCTCAGTTCACGTAATACTCCATAAATCTTCGTCAAAGCGTTTACTCTAGCATTTCTGTTGTGATACAATCGGTGTTTTGATTGCATACAAACAGATAAAACAGATCATATCTATTAACAGAAAATCAATCAGTAGACATCTATTATTGGTACTCTACATTATATTATACTTAATAATTACAATACCATAACCTTAAAAAAAAGTTGTCACTTCAAAACAAAATTAATCGAAGGTCAAATAACGACGTTATGCGCAAGCACTTCATCATTAAATGAATGAAAAATAGGGAATGTTCTATTTTTCATCCAATTTTGCATTCAGACTCTGTGTTTCTGTAATACACGGTGCAGTGAATTCTGAATACAAATTCTCATTCAGAAAATGGATGAAAAACTGGCCCGTGTCATACGGACTTTAGAGGGCAAAAAGCAATTGCCATAAAACCTGTTCTAATCGCTGCTTTGAAGTTGGTTTTCAACTTCGAACTAGCTATATACAGGGTGTTTCATTGGGCAAGGTAAATAATTCAACTGTGGATAGGGGTCACTGGGGTGATTTAAAAAAACCCATGGTTGATGGGTCTTCGACTTCTTATAACCGAGATACAGGATGTTTCATCAATTTTGTCCACATCTTCATTGTCTCATAACTTTCCAACCAACCTGTATATATCTTTAAAAATTGGTACACTTGCTCAATCTAACCTGTGGAATTGATTGAGGCAACAACAAATAATAAAATCCAGGTCCGGCTTCACTTAAAATTCACAAATTCTTTCTGCCAGAAAACAACACCCTATACATTCGAATTTCTCATTTTTCTTGCCATATCTGAAAAAAACATCGAAATTCCTATTCAACGATGTGCTTTTCATCGTGCACAGACGATTTTAACTATTTATATTATGTGCTCAAAATATTATATTTGCTCATTTTGGGGTACAAAATTGGAATCAGACGAGATTTATTAATTTTATTACTTCCTATTCAGTATACGTGAGTATTACATTCAGAAGGAGTATTTCATATTGTTCTTTGTTCCAGACTTAGTTGCAGGTCCGTCATCAAAACTATACAGGGCTTTTCACGATGAGCGTTAATTTGACGTTTTCGGCAAACCAGGCAACGGATAAATCTGAAATTCCGATGGTATGTATAAATTAACATAATCTACACTACTGAAATATTTGAAACGATCCGGCCTTGCCGCTTTTACTAGAAAGTAGCAGCAACTTTGATTTTTCAAATGGGACACCCTGTATTCCATTACATTCTTGGATTCTTGCTGAACAGTAGAATTCATCGATTCAAAACATTCAAGGTCTAGCGGGACTGATAACTGAGATATAGGATGTGGAAAATCGAGATGTTTCAACTTTAGAAATGTTTTGTGTTGAAATTATTTATTATTGCATGGTCAAAACGGCTTCAATGTCCCTATCACAACTTTCCATTCGATATTCGATTGAAACAGATACAGGGTGGTGCAGAAATCTGAATTATGAACCATCCTGTATTTGTTTCGATTAAATGTCAATAGATACAAAGTTAATAATAAATATTTTCGCAAAATAATTCTAAAGTTGAAACATCTCAATTTTTCTCACTAAATATCTCAGTTATTAGTCCCACTAAACCCCGAACTTTGTGAATCGATTGAATCAGCTCTTCAGGAAGCATCCAGGGTGTCCCATTTGAAAAATCAAAGTTACTGCTACTTTCGAGTAGAAGGGGCAACGCTGGATTGTTTCAAATATTTCAGACGTGTACATCATGTTAATTTATACATACCTTCGAATTTTTAGATTTATCCGATGCCTGGTTTGCCAGAAACATCTAATTAACGCTTATCGTGAAAAGCCCTGTATAGTTTTGATGACGGACCTGCAACTAAGTCTGGAACAAAGAACGATATGAAATACTCCTTCTGAATGTAATACTCACGTATACTGAATAGGAAGTAATAAAATTAATGAATCTCGTCTGATTTCAATTTTGTACCCCAAAATGAGCAAAAATAATATTTTGAGCACATAATATGAATAGTTAAAATCGTTTGTGCACGAATAAAAAGCACATCGTTGAATAGAATTTTTGATGTTCTTTTCAGATATGGCAAAAAAAATGAGAAATTCGAATGTATAGGGTGTTGTTTTCTGGCAGAAAAAAATTGTGGATTTTAAGTGAAGCCGGACCTGGATTTCATCTTTTGTTGTTGCCCCAATCAATTCCACAGGGTATATTGAGCAAGTGTAACAATTTTGAAAAATATATACAGGTTGATTGGAAAGTTATGAGACAATGAAGATATGGACAAAATTGATGAAACATCCTGTATCTCGGTTATAAGAAGTCGAAGACCCATCAACCATGGGTTTTTTGAAATCACCTCAGTGACCCCTATCCACAGTTGAATTATTTACCTCTCCCAATGAAACACCCTGTATATACGGCGTATTATCAACATTGTTTCTACTCCATATCAATATTCTGCGAAATAAGCACTTTCCATATCCACAGCTTCGCATATTACATTTACTCTTCACACTGCGTTCTTTTCCAGATATTCCGATAGCGGATCAACGCAATCGATGGAGAACTCGCTGAAATAACAGCCTATATGTAACCAACAAACTAGTTGAATTCAACATCACCAAAACTCAAAACTGTTTTATCTTTATGATAGAGGAACTCAATATGCCTGATATAGTGCGTTATGTTAGCACAAGAATATTGCTATTCTGGCTACCAGCATGAAATTCGGTACACATGTTGATGAATATATAGAAAACAAAATACCATCGGGACACACGCTGTATCTGGAATATTTCAGCCGCCATTTTTCAAAATGGCGACCGAAAGCTGGATTTTTGCTAATATCTCCAGAACGGTGGAAAATATCGGGAAAGTTCAAATTGATGAAATATAGAAGATAGTGAGGCGGACATTTTTTGTTCGAAACATTTTTTTGTCAGACGAATCAAAAATCCAATAATCGAAATATTAAAATTCAATTTTTCAAGGTTCCTCAGGAAAAAATCAAAATGGAAACTTTCAGGCTAAGATTAGCCACAGAAATCATGATCATGAGTTATCTGTATGATGAACTCTTTCTTGAGGATTCGAACCGAAGGTACCTACCATTACGTAAAATGGCGGTCAATTATTTTAATCTAAATAAAATCATATATCAATCATGTTATAGGCTTGATGTTTAATTAGGTTGGATTAGATCAGTAAGAATCTTGGTGAACTAACTAATACAACAGTATTACAAATAATGTTCATTGAGTACACTGTCCATCACACGTGCATAGAGCAGTACACTGCAAATTAAATCTATTGCATTTGCAGTTCTTGATACACATTGTTTTGCATCTGCAGCTGATCAATTCTGAACATTCATCAGATGCTTGTGGCAAAACTGTCCAAAGTGGTTCAATCGTTTCATCTTGAGATTCCAGATTTGACGACTTCCATCCCCAGTTAGTTGCATTTGGAATATATGGTTGCAATTCCAGGCATTTAATCCAAATACGCGACTGAAGCATTGCTCTCCTCAGGTGTTGACGCAATGCTCCTTCGGTTGGTGGAATATTCTCCACACTTCGATTCTTCTGAGTGTACAGTACTCTTCTACACTCATTCACTGTTTCTGTCTGGCTGGTAACATCATACATCATTACAGTGAAAAGCTGAATCTTATCAAAATCTTCTTCAGTTATTATATCTGTTGATGACAGTCGGATGAATACGTCTGTCATTTCTTGCATCTTTCCCCATACATTCCAAGCTCTCGTTTTACCAATACCATGAAACGATGATACCGTATCACATCCTGTATACGCATGAAAAAATGGTAGTGCAGCACATTTTTCAACAGAGAGTCCTCGCAGGATCACTGACAGTGAGAAATAGCGTCTGTTTTTTCCAACTCCAAATTCAAACCAGAGGTCTTGCATACCCATTTGCTCCAACTCGTGGAATTTAGCAGCAGCAATAACAATGACATCTGAATCCACTGTACTTATCAAAATGTTTTTATGGCCCGACAATATTGCACTTTTTACGTGAATGAGAAGTCTAGTATCTGCTTCTTCATGTGAGCATGGTGCGAGATCAACACCATCAACTAACGGACCAACAAATGTTACTGATTCTTCATCAGTGCAAATCACTAACTTTCCATCAGTCTCGAGTGATTTTATTTTGGTAGAAAGGAGTTTGAATAGTTGTTTTTTATTGTTATCACACTGCAAAAATTTACTGAAGACTTTCGGCATAGGTGTGGTTGGTCTTACAACAATCTCTTTTCCAGACCCTCTTTTCAATCTTGTGTCAGCTTTGAGGCTACCAGGCAAGTACCTATCGAAAACTATGTCCACCCTTTCAAATTTTCGGAGACGAAAGTCTATAGCAGATAGAAATACTTTGGTACAATATTCAGAGAATGTCTTTGATGTTTTTGTATCCAAAGAATGAACCAGTGCAGCACCATCGATAACTACAGCGGAACAACATGAAACTTCGTTTTGAGCTGTATCTTCTCCTACACTTTGACTTGCCGCTGATAAACAGGCTACGATATCAGATTTCTTCGCTGCTTTTCGTAGTCTTCCGAACTCACTTATTGCAGGTGGATATGAATGATTTTCATGAGCAAAAAATGTTGCAACATTCGTTTGTCTGATTTGGCTAGCCACATATAATTTACAAAAAATATTAGCATCTTTCTTAAGATCGTTCAGTTGCATTTGAAATTTCGATTTTTTTTCTCTCTCTTGTCACTAAATAATACCAGATTGCATCGCTTGATAACGTCATGTACAGATATTTTTCCTTCGGTTAATCTTTCTTGAACGTAACTGTTATAAAGAGTATTCCCTATATTTTTAGCTTCTTTCACAGATTCCTCTGCATCCGGTGTCATCCGTATATTGCTAACTGCTGTAGATAATACATCTCCTTCAAATGGATTTCCATAATTTTGGAAGGAGGCTACAATAGCAAGAACATGCTTTCTGAATCTTTCCTCGAAAGATTTCGTATTTTCTCTATGTTTTCCTGGTAATTCCTCGTCATCAATATCACATTCTTCTTGACCATCATGAATGTTTGAAGAATGTTCTTCAAAGTCAGATATCATTTTCACAATATCTGGCCCACCAACCGTCCATTTAAGAAGCGCTGTAGGATTGTCTAGTAAACCAATTGCTCCACCAATTTCCTTTATCTTTTTGTTGTTCTGTTCATGTAATTGATCATCAGCTATTGCTGAAAATGATCGATTCGTTTTCATGCTAACAAACTTTCCTTTCATGAATTCTTCATTGATGCTAGGGTGATAAATTTCCAATTCTTGAAGAGTCTTCACGAAAACTGGTAGCCATCTCGCATAGTTAGTATGATCTAACGCAAACATCCATGGACAGATATCTACAAGAACTCTCTTGAAGTTAATGAAATTGCTCTCACGCAGACTCTGCACATAAGCCAGCAATAGAACCTCTAGCTCAATGGTGATTGACCAGAAAAGAAACTGAACTGATTCCTTAGTACGATAAGTACACCACTTATCGAAATCTAAATCAGGTTCCTCACTACACATTTCTCGAGACTTGTAAGCATGACCCTTCAAGATGACTAATGCAGCTACTGTTACTTGATGAGCGTATCTAGTACGTTTCACATGTGAACATGATAAGAGAGATTCTGCTCGCCCAGGACTTGTGACTCCAGCATCAACAAGAATATCAGTCCAGCCTGATCCAGTTAACCATGAGCCTATCATACTCATGATTGCCATTTCTATATGGAGACCTCCCATCATGACAACGAATTTATCTTCTCCATATAAATGAGGAAACTTCCATTGCAACTGCTTTGCCAGGGCGTAAATAGGCTGGTCTCCAGTAAGGACTGGGATTCCATTATTCAGATTTAGTTTGTTGATAATACTTGAAATAAGTTTAAGACAATGTGCAACAACGGCTGGAGATTGCACTTTCTCATTCAGCAAGGGAAGTAGAACATGGTTCGAAGTAGTAATATTTTCTGAGTTGATAATTTCAGATGTAAATCCAGCCCAGGAAAGTCGCATCTCATGGAGTCCATCATCAGCTTCAAGAAGTTCTTTAACTATATGTAACCAATGATCTACTGTTGAGGAGTAAGCTTGTGATGCCACTGCTGGCGTAACTACATTATTTAACGGAATATTACAATTTTTGTTCATTACTAGTGGAGATATTACAGTATAGGAATAGGGCAATTCCTTAGTAACTCTTCGACTCCACTGAGAATCTTCAATCCGAAGAAAACTTTCGTCTGGTGATATCTTATCTGGATGTTGTATCAAAGTTATGCTCGTTCCATGAAATGATTTCTGAGCCGAGGTCGATGACTGATTATGATCAATGTTATCAATGACTGCTGTGGTGAATGTATCGCGATGTAATGATGAAGGTAATACACCCTCTGAAGTTTCGTATGACTCGCAAATGACATTTGTTACAGTGGATAAAACATACTGAACTCGATCATATGATACAGATAATCCCAGAGCGAAGAGACTATCGATTAGATTTTTGCTTCTCACTGTCGAATACAATTTTAGACCAATATACAGAGGTAGAGGAGTTTCACGCTCATTTAGGTGTTTAATATTCGAATTATCATGTCTCCGTTTGAATTTCACTGCGTTGAAGCGGACTAATTGCGCCAGTGAGAGTACAGCTGTTTTTTCATAAGCTTCATTATTGCTTGTGTCTGATCCTTCCAATATCATTTGCAGAAGTAGTACTAAAGATTCACTTACACACTTTTTTGGCACGAAATCCTTTGAGAATGAGCCAGTAAACTTTGGATAGTTGTTGAATAAATCTCTACGTATAATTTTGGCAGCATGAGCTAAAGTCATCCCATCACTCATCGAATTATATGCGATAGCATCTCGTAGAGCATCTGCTGTGGATTCTTCAAAGTAAAGCATCACTTCTCGACCACTCTTACAGGAAACTAAACCAGGGATGAGAGAGATAAGCTGATCTTTTAGTTTGGATCGATGAACTTGAGCATCTGCAACTCCTAGGTTACGCATTTTTGCCTCCATTTGACTAGTCAGTATCGCTAATTTAAAAACTGGAGAGATTTCACTGTTCAAATACATATCTTGAATATACTCTACCATTTGTGATAGAGCAGAGCCATATACCAGACTGTTCATTTCATTTTCATTATTTGAGTTCGCATTCTTACGTAGCTCACTTCTAGCTGTTGTTCGGAATCTCACATAACATCGTTTGTGGTATTTAGCTTCTTGAGCAACGAGGTCCGCTGAAGAAAGCTTCGATAAAACCCTGTCATCGTGTAACTCTTTCGCTAAAAATAGTATCGAAGTTCCTATTTCCAGTGTTTGTGGTGTCACAAGTTTCTCAACAGTTTCATCACCATCACAAAATAAACAAGTATTTTTAATATGACCTTTAGAGATTTTTGATCGGGTATGTACATTCGATGAACTGGAAGCACTCGAGTCGACTTGTAATTGTTTTTTTCTTTGTCTGTCCAACTTTTGTTTATCAAACTTTGTTCTACATACCTTGTGAAATTTTGCTGAATGGGATAAAAGGGATTCAACAACACCTTGTCCATCCTCAATTTGAGAAAACAAAACAGACTTTGGCAAAACACCGAGTTCATTGAAAGCAATCAAATCTTCTCCAAGGGATTTCAGTCCAGTATCCTTTGCATTGATGAGAGGTGCTTCTGTATCTTCCTGACAAATAACACACTTATCCCATTTGATGACAGAGGGAGGTGGAGGCACTACATCACCATGTACCAGTTCTAATTTTCGTCCCCTTGACATTTTGATCTATTTATTTCACAGAATAACTCTTCTTCAAGCGCGACCTGATCACGAAATAAATACGTTGCCGCGTGCATGTGCGCGTCAAAAGAAGCTGTGTCGCAGCTCACTGCGCAGGTTTCGCAACATATCTTCATACAGGGCCGGTCTTCGCTATAACATCGGGTGTGAAAAATTGAGTGAGAGATCAGAGTGGGTATACCGGATAAGGCATTTATATTGAGACAAAATTATACCTCGGTTCGACTCGATTATTTCGAAAGACATTTCAGACAAATAATGTAAGGCCAATGATTTCCAATCCAAATTTGTGCTGAACAATGGGTGTTTCTATTAAAAAAATCGACTTTCGCTCTAAAGGCCCCACTTCCGTTCTATTACAATATTTCTCAGATTTTTTTTTTGAAATGATCGAATACAAGCGAGATATAATTTTGTCTCAAGATAAATGACTCACCCGGTATATTGGAGCGTTAAAAAAGATCTTCTATATTTCTAGATGAACACGTGTGTAAGGAGGATTTTCATGAATAGGTAGGGATACTTGGTAACGGGGTAATTTTTGGTATTTTGAATGATTTTTTCAGGAAACGAGGATTTTCCACTGAATATATTCAATTTATTGGCTTTAATATCAACCTCACAAGAAAATGTTTCAGACAAAAAATGTCCGCCTTGTAATGTTCTTCATTTCATAAATTTGAACTTTTCCAAAATTTTGTACCGTTCTTGAGATATCAGCAAAAATCTAGTTTTCGGCCGCCATTTTAGAAAATGGCGGACGAAATATTCCAGACACAGCTTGTGTCTCGATGGTTTTTTGTTTCCTATATATTTCTCATCATGTATGCCAAATTTCATGCTGGTAGCCAGAATAGCAATATTCTTATACTTTTTTGAACCAACCCAACGCACTAATATAACAAAATCAAGTAGCAGCATTTCCATAAAGTACATACACTTTATCTTTGTTCAGCATTACAATCAAAAATACTCTTTTATGGAGAATATAGGTCAGATTCATCGCAGAAGCGGTTTCACAAATTTGTTAAACGCAGTGACATCTTGGGGCAAATCATCTGATTTGACCCGCTACAAATATATTGAAATAATACGCATATTTTTATTTCATAGAAACGAGGAGAGAAAATCCCAAAAAATCAAGTCAAATCAATATAGTTTCTTAAAAAAAGGGACATTTTCAACGAATATCATTCAAGTTTAGCTTAATATACACGGAAAATGAAATATATAGGTACACTTTTTTATCTTGGGAGAGGTGTAACTTCTCCGGGGAGAGGTTTATCAAAAAAATTTCTACCAAATATCCATCACTTTTATTTTCATGACAGAATCAGCCCTTGAGTTTCATCGGTGTTTTTTAAATACACTTTGTGAATTCCATTCAGAGACAAGCCATTCGCCTGCCTGGTGATGCCCTACTCACTAATCCCTTGACATCATTGAAACTCCGTAGGAAAGTCAGCAACCTTTTTCCTTTAAACGTATACTTCCACGGCAAAAGTTCTTAAAAAATCTCGGCTATTATTATATTATCACTATAGCAATAATAGCCAGACGTACTCGATAAGCCCAGTCAGCAGTCAGCATTTGCCAAAGAAGGTATTCCCAAGAACTAATGATCATCAATAAAGAAATTCCAAAGGAAACTTTCTATAAGAAACAATATGAATATACAGAGTATAAAGAAAAAACAATGAAAATCCCAAAGTCTGTCGACCACAAAATCATTTAATAAGCGACGTGTTACTAGTTTCGGCCACAGGCCATCATCAGACACAAAAATGATGTTTATATGAGTACCTAAAATATAATGATAGACAATGTTATGGGGTGAAAAGAGTCATACAATCATATACTAACCTTATAACATATTGAGAAAATTATTAAAATTGAAAAGCTAAGTCCAAAAAATTCAGTTGACAGTCCAGCATATTCAAGTGGTTTTTAATCTGGAGAATGTCCAGTAAAACCAAATTAAAATTGGGTTATTGGCGAAGTACATCAGAAACTAATTATTCAAAAATTCTCTCACGTGAGATTCATCAAGAAATGCGAAAAGCAAATGGAAGCTGAGATAGAATTCAAGGTACCAGAAACATCATAAATCACAAGGAAATAAATAGTCAAAGAATGAGTGACACATGTCAAAGTCAACCGGAACTGACATGAAACTAATAACAACAATATTATGACTAATTCCAATAATTCTTTCCACACTGATCAACATCATAATACCATATGTTCAATAAAAAATAAACTTAGTAACAATGACCTGGTTCTGACAAAGGCAGATAAAGGGAATTGTATAGTAGTCCTTGACAGAACAGACTATAACTCAAAAGTAGAAGAATTTCTTGATTCTGATTCTTTCACTCTGATAGGTATAGATCCAACCAAAAATTATTTCATGAAATTGAAAAAAGAACTTGATAATAAATCAGACACTCTTAAGTTTCTCAACAAGTCAAATTTTCAATTATATCCAATGTGTCCTATTACTCCTCTTTTGTATGGACTTCCCAAGATTCATAAACTGAATATTCCGATTCGTCTTGTCGTTTCATTCATTAATACACCTTGTTCCAAACTAGCTTCCTTCCTCAATCATTTACTCAGAGTTTTGAAACTAGAGCCTCTGAACATAATAGAGCGATTAGGAGGAATAGGAACATCAATAATTTAAACACTAGTTACTCCTTCGCAAACCATATAATTGAATCTAACCATAATTTCAATATATCTGACAACATGGAATTCCTTCACATTTGTAATAAAGGCTCCAGGTTGAACCTATTGGAAATGCTAGAAATTCACAAATGTATAAACAATCCCAATTTCACATGTCTTAATGATCAAACCAACTTTGAACGTAACCTCATTTTTCGTACTATGAAATTTCAATGATCAACATAACCCAGATTGATCTACTGTTATTCTTCTCCCAATCTCTTGGTCTCATTGTTTCAAATTTTGATTTTGTTTTGGTTATTGTTAATTAATTTATCATATTGACGTCACTTGTCGGTGTCATATTCTGTCACCACCTCAGTTATTAGTTTCATGTCAGTTCCGGTTGACTTTGACATGTATCACTCATTCTTTGACTATTTATTTCCTTGTGATTTATGATGTTTCTGGTCCCTTGAATTATATCTCAGCTTCCATTTGCTTTTCGCATTTCTTGATGAATCTCACGTGAGAGAATTTTTGAATAATTAGTTTCTGATGTACTTCGCCAATAACCCAATTTTAATTTGGTTTTACTGGACATTCTCCAGATTAAAAACCACTTGAATATGCTGGACTGTCAACTGAATTTTTTGGACTTAGCTTTTCAATTTTAATAATTTTTTCAATATGTTATAAGGTTAGTATATGATTGTATGACTCTTTTTACCCCATAACATTGTCTATCATTATATTTTAGGTACTCATATAAACATCATTTTTGTGTCTGATGATGGCCTGTGGCCGAAACTAGTAACACGTCGCTTATTAAATGATTTTGTGGTCGACAGACTTTGGGATTTTCATTGTTTTTTCTTTATACTCTGTATATTCATATTGTTTCTTATAGAAAGTTTCCTTTGGAATTTCTTTATTGATGATCATTAGTTCTTGGGAATACCTTCTTTGGCAAATGCTGACTGCTGACTGGGCTTATCGAGTACGTCTGGCTATTATTGCTATAGTGATAATATAATAATAGCCGATCAATCAATTGGACCACTTTGAGAAAAATGGATGATTTCTATGATTTGATACAGAGTATATTACTCAATGCTTTGCAGTATGCTATACATTCAATCACATGATTGTGGTGTTTTCTTATGGTTGAAAATTTGACAGTGAATAGTCAATAGTGAAATGTATTGTGACGAAGTGATCAGAAATAGTATGAGTAGGTAGTGATTGCTGAATGGTGTTCTAAGGCGAGAGGGACAAACTAATTTAGCTAGGAGAGGACAGCTGGGTGAAAGTCTCAATAACCCTCAGGATAGGCTCCATGTCTTCAGTTTCAGATATATAGGGTGATGATTCATGGTATTCCTTCGAAAAATCAGACCACTATATACAGCGTGTCCCATTTCAAACAGCCCCCTCTCTGTATAGCAGTTATAAGTCGTGCGATCTCTACCAAATTTGGACTGAATCATGGAAACCATCCATCCTTCTCAAAGTGGTCCAAAATTTTTCCAATGAAAATACAGTATAACACAAAGTCGGTCGACCACAAAAATTATATTAACAAATCAAGTTTGTGACTAGTTTCGGCTCAACAGTATATGTACAGCAAGAGCACGGGACCAATTTGGACAGTTTTCCCATGTTAATTCCCATAAGAAAATTTAAGGTCAAAAATAGCAAAAATGGCTCTTTTTTTCATATACAGCCAGAGCATGGAGGCTCAATTCAGTTTCCCCATCTCAATCTCCATAAGAAAATCTATGGTCGAAAAAATAGCAAAAATGGCTCTTTTTTCAAGGTCACCGCAGTTGACCATGTTGGTAGGAGTACAGAACGGGTGAACATTCATAGGGAGGGAAGACAGGTTGGAAAAATAATGAGTACTGATACATGATAATATTTATTATTCGTTAGTGTAAATATATATATATAAACAAAATAATTCTAGAGATATCACCATCAATTTATGAGCCATATTCCACAACATCATCATCGATTGAATAGTGTCCCCATGGTAACGTTTCATCAGTTCCAGGAATTATATATCTCTTATCATCATTCGGACTGAGAGCAATCTTCTTTTGTATGATAGAATAAACTTGATGTTTATCTGATTTGATCAAATTCTGAGTGACAGTTTTTTCCTTCCAATTATCCAAACACTCAACATAATCAGTGAAGGTTATTGATGTCTTCACAACAGACGACTTCACACCCTTAGCCTTTTTCGTTATACCAAAATTCCTCAGAATATCATCAATTTCAAAATCATCATATCCTTCATGCAT